GTGTGTGTGTGTGTGTGTGTGTGTGTGTGTGTGTGTGTGTGTGTGTGCACACGCGCATGGCTGGGGAAGTCATTGTTATGCTCTTGTTTTACATGAGACTATTTATGTATTTGGCAAGTGAAGGAAGGCAGGAAGAATTAGTTTGTATTTTTTCTTTCCTTTTTCAAATGTGTATATTCACATTTTATTCTCTCTCCTTATAGTTGTCTCCACATACAGCCTGTCCCAGCTCTGATTCATTTTTAATATTTCTCTGTCACTTAGCAGGAAATACTGCACTTAGAAGTATTTTTGCTCGAATCAGAGACTTACTATCAACTTAGTCGAGATTTGTGCAAGTTTTGTTTGCTTTATACAGTATGTACCAGTAATATATGATGCTTTATTTAATTTTTTTCTATTAAGTCTGTGGAAGGTATCTGCTATGAAACGGCTATTAAATCCCATTATCATCAGCAAAAACTATGTTGAAGTGTTTGTATATTTTATATACAAAGTTTTGTTGTGAGAATATACATCATCATGTTTTTATTTTTTTACATTTTTTTAAGCTTTAACTCTTTCCAGATGTTTCCTGTCTGTATCTTTTCCCCTCTCTTTCTTCTTCCTCTTTTTGAATTTATTTAGTAGGCTGTGAACCTGTGCCCAGCCAAATATTTGCAACGTGGATTTTTCTCAAGACCTTAAAGCCCATTTGAGTTTTTTTTACTTTTATAGCTTGTGTGCATTTGCCACAGAATAGTGTAGCTGTCTCACCAAAGTCACATGCCCTAGACTCTAATGTCCAAATGTGTAAATTTTTATTTGATTTATTTTATATTTATTATTTTTCATTGTTGACACTAGAGTGACTTTGACCTTTTCAGGTCACTCAAACACATGCTCACAATCTTAAACTAGAGGTTAACTTAAACACTGGGTGTTGTTTGACTGGTTTCTCCAAAAGCTATACTTAGTGACAGATCTGAGTAGTTTAATATTGTTCATGATATTTTACTGTATCATTTATCCATTGAGGGTTTTGACTCACTGGGTTTTAAATTAAGGGATCATGAAGTACATCCCCACCACACTGACTACCACTAATGTCAGGCTGCAAAAAACCAAGACTTTGTAAAGCAAAATCAAATAAAAATTAAATGGATATCTGCTTTTTGTTTCATTATGCTGGAAAGTTGATATTGAGTCACTGTCATACAGTTTTTGTAGGAAGTATTGCCGCTACATATTTTCTTGCCATAACTTAGAGCTCTGCTCTCAAAATGCCTAAAGAAAAGCTCACTGTAATGTGAAAACCGTTTATCTCGCATAGACAGTGTTGTAGCTGAACTGTGTGGCTTTGCCATAAAATAAGATACAAAACCGTGTTCCTAACCACATCCTCCTCGTTTTTTTAATGCTGTTGTCTCGTGATGGCCACAGTGAAGACCTGTCTTCTTGTTCTCTAACTTTCAAAGGTCATTTCTCTCTGTCCTTTCTACATCTTTTATCCTCCTTTCTAGCCATCTTCCTACTCAGTTTACCATCCTTTGTCACATTTCATGTGTAGTCCTAGCTTTTTTGCCCTTTACATCCTCTTTCTCTGTCCCCATCTGTGGCCTTAATGTTAATTGAGAGGTGAGTAATGGAGACAAAGACACTGGATCAGTTTTCAAAGCCTGAACTGTGACATGAAATGTGGTTTAGTGAGTAATCAGGGGAGAGGGTGGTTGATCTGACAGCTACACCATTCATTCAACAGATTTGTTGATGCTCTTCATTGGCTTCTGTGACAACCCCCCCATCCCCACTCCACTTTTTGTATTAGGATTGACACATCAGCTTTTTGGCATTAATGAAAGTTTGGAACTACCACAGCTATAGTTGCTAGGGAAAGAGGAAGCATCACCATGTCCCTTTAAATGTTAGAAACGAAGAAAAAGAAGCACAAAAGAAACTACCAACCTTGCTTTTTCAAAAGCTGAAGGTCTGGACCATTTGCATGCAGTTCCAATCTTCCCACTTCTTCCTTTCTCCCATTTTGTGTTGTGTGTTATTTGTGGAGAATGGTGCTGTGAAATCCAGATGCTTGACCCAGCAGTCAGGTTGCCTGGTCACGTGGATCTACAACTGTTTGAGCTGGCTCTTTTGCATCCTAACAAACCTTTAAAGGGTTTCTGCTGCCTTCTCCCTACTGAGACTGCTGTGTGTTCACAATTACACCCCTCTGTTGAGGAAATGCCACTACAAATGGAAGTTGTATTCTACTCCAATTATCTTAAAATTATTATTTAAATTTAAAAGTTGTTCTCCAACTGAGTCCCCATTGTATGTCCATATTATATGTAAAGGAGTAAGTGAGTAAGTGCTAGGTGTTGTCATCATTGTATGTTCCCATACAATGGTGAAATTAGTTCTCTGCATTTAACCCACTGCACCTGGGATACACCCAGGTGGAGCAGTGGGCAGCTATGTAGGCACCCGGGGGGCAGTTAGGGATTGGGTGTCTTACTCAGAGACACCATGGCCTGTGGGAATGGCTGGGGATCTAACCTGGGACTTTTAGGTCCCAGGTTGGCTGCCCTGCCTCTACCCCATTTCAGCCCCTGAAAAGAGGATGCTGGTGTGTGTATTCTAATCTATGAGCAGGTAAGTATGTACATGTGGTTGTAGAGTTGGAGAGAATAGTAAAGGTAGAAGTGAGTACTGTAAGAGTTGCTCCCTGAAGTTGGGCCTCATTCTGTTGGAAGGGAGGGAGCAGCAGAATCACAGAAACAAAGAGCACGTATGACGCACTCGCTGAAGTAATCACTATGTGTTAAACTACAAGCAAGCTTGCACAGTATCAGGCTTAAACTCTGTGTATCAAACACATCAAGTCTTTATCACAAGAGCTGGAAGTTCGCCACAATCAGTGTCGTAAACTCGTATCATTTATCTCTGCTTTTTTAATGATTATGGTTTGGAGAGAACTGCATCATGGGGGTAAAATATTTCTCCTTAACATACATTTACTGTATATACTGCATGCATAGGTGTGACCAGCCTGGCTTTATCACTCAGGTCATGGTTGTGTGAGTCGTCCAAAGGAGGAAAAAAATAAATACGGTAAATATGGAAAGAAAGAAAAACTTGAGATGAATGTAAACAGTAAGTTAACAGATTTAATCAAGTGTTGACAATAAATTCTGCTTGCTTTAGCTCTGCAGGACTTTGTAAGTTTTCATTTGACAGCAGCAAGTTCAGCTAACTGTAGCCTTGCCAGAGAGATAATGTAGATTTTCTGTACTGAGGAAACTAATTTAAAGTTCTGGACTTAGTGCCCATCAGTCCCCATATGCATCAATAAGTCTGGAATTCATCCATGATGGGTACATTAAAGGGCCCTGCATACTCCATCCGAAGCAGTAAAGTCGTCTGTCGTTGATGAAGTTGCGTGATGAAAATTGCGTCACTTTGTTCGTAGAGTAGCTTCGCCCACTTCTTCTCGACACAAGGCCCGGGCCGAACTTTTTCTCACATGCGTCTGCTCCAAGTATTGTGCGATTGATTGGTCAGAAGTTTGTGGACGTGTTTGACAATTCAGAACTGTGCTTGGACATTCAGCTGTATGACTAAACAAACACAGTAAATTAGTCAAATGGCCAAAAACTCCTGAATGGAGATCATGCAGACATTCGAAGGAGTCTGCTGAAAATTTTGGCGCTTTCTTCATGATAGTTTTGTGACCAAACAGTGGATGCATGGACGGAGCGGAGATTCTGGTGGGAAGAAACCCATGCAGTGAGGTATACTGCCACGGGAGGGGTTTCCCAGGAGCTCTGCATGGTGTCTAGTGGAATATGAAAGGTGTGTGTGAAAACAAACGTCCCACAGCCACATGACCGCATGGCCACTGTTCGGCTTCAGATGGAGTTTGGATCATTTTTTACTCATAAGTAGTATGACATTGAATTCCATTTGTATTGTTCTTTTAATCCACTTTGACATATTTTTCTCAGAAATTATTATTTTTCCCCCTTTTATTATTATAAATTATTATTTTCTCTTGATACCTTAATTCTTACTCCAGTATTCACTCATGAGATTTTCTCCTGGGAAATCCATCCATCCATCCATCCATTATCTTTACCCGCTTATTCCATTTTGGGTCACGGGGGTCACTGGTGCCCATGTCCAGCAATCACTGTGCGAGGGGCGGGGTACACCCTGGACGGGTCGCAAGTCCATCACAGGGCCACATAAAGACAAACGAGACAAACAACCATTCACTCTCTCACTTCCTGGGAAATCAGCTTACCTAATTAACATCTGCTCATTATGCATCTGTATTCAGTGACCAATTATTTTTCTTACCCCAATAATTGGTTTATGTGTACATCACTTTCTAAACAAAACAAATGTTTCATTCTTTGTTTTTATTTTTGCCAGGAAACCCAATGGAGACTATCGCAACTCATCTGTTACCAAGGACCGTAGCCGAAGCCCCAGTGAGCGCATGGTGGTTCCCACTGCTTTGGGAGTTCAAGGCAACCCCCTGTATGGCCTCCCTCACCATCACCTGGCTGCCTTAGCCAGCATGGACCAGCCCCTGGCACTCACCAAAAACAGCATGGTGGACACGGCGCGTGGCAGTGCAGCATCTTTGGTCACAATGCCACATACAGTCAGCCCAATGGAACGACAGCAGGTAAACGGCACATGCTGAGTTTTTTTTCTCTTTCACTGAACACATGCTTTTCTAAATGGGGTGAAACCTCAACTATGGTGGGTCCTCCACAATATATGGTAAATCCTTTTTGTCGTTCCTTGCTGCTTGTCTGCTGAATGATAAGATGTCAGTTTTAACTTGTTAGTGAAAAACATATGAAATCTTAGGAGTCCCTTGTTTTTCTACTCGTCAGTAGTTTTAAGAAAGGCCAAAAAACCCAGAATGTTTCTTTGTGTTTCAGAATCGCCCGTCAGTGATCACATGTGCAGCAGCCAACAATCGTAACTGCAACCTGTCTCAGTGTCCGGTGTCCCACAGTGGCTGCTCCAACCTCACCAATAACTACAGAAGAATCAACAGTGAGTCCACCATTAGTGACAGACACATATTACTAACTTCTGTAGTATTGTTTGAGATTTTCTTTTCAGGATCTGGGTTTAAGGAACAATTCAGGGCCAACTTTTACTGCTAATTTAACATTTGTGATTTTTACAACATTAAATGCTTGTTATTAAATAAAAAAGAAGTAAATGTTTCCAGTGATGTAAAATGGACTAAATTTAAACTAATATAAGGCAATAGATTACCAACAGTTTGCCATTAATCGGAATATGAGGGATAATTTTTCCTTTCTTTCTTCCAGCCAACACAGCCTGTGACCCTGTGATTGAAGAGCATTTCCGTCGCAGCCTTGGAAAAAACTACAAGGAGCCTGAGCCCACCGCCACCAACTCTGTGTCCATCACCGGCTCGGTGGACGACCACTTTGCCAAGGCGTTGGGCGAAACCTGGAACCAGATCAAAAACAAGGGGAGTCCCTCGTCGTCCAGCAGCAGCCCAAACTCTTCTCCAAATAGTCACATGGTCAATCACAACCACTCCCCTTCCATTGTCTCTTGAAGGCAGAGGGATTTTTTTTTCCTGGCTCATCCAATCATCCCAGGCTTCGACATCCATGCCCCTGCCACTTTGGTCTGTCACCAGCATCCCAGAGGGAATGCCTGCCTGCTGGTCTGCTAAAAACAGCCAAAACCTTCAAGCCTGCTCTCTCACTGTGCACTCAGAGGATCAATCAAGCAATAAAGAGATGGCCACATCCCTTCTGTCCTCTGGTACTGCTAAAACAATAATCAGTACCAAATGAGGAGGATTTAAAACTAAATCTGGACTGAAGCATCAGCTCGCTCCTTCCAATCCTTCATCAACCCTGCGTCTGTAGCTTGAAGCTGAACAAGTGTCTGTAGTTATATGTACATACCCGAGGAGAGGAAAGGCAGTGTTTTGATTCTTAATGTTCTTTCTTGTTTCGTTTGTTTTTGTTAACAGTAGTTTTGTGTACCGATTCTTTAACGTCATGCCTGGCTTTTAAACGAAAAGATAAGTGAGAAACACGTCTTGGAAAACAATCACAACCCACCTGACTGTGAAAGAAACCTCAGACACTGATGTTAATCAATGTTCACCTCCAAAGCACCCCATCATTCTCTCAACCTTTGACCAGGAGAAAATAATGTTGATCAGGGTAACTAAAAACAGCTCCCTATGCCATCTGTGACGTCAGCAAGTACCCGGATTTCGGGCAAACAGAACTTTTAAGTACAATACAATACAGTGCTGTAGTCATGGTTTGCAGATTAAAAAAAAGAAAAAAAAACGCAGCAGAAAATATCTAAGAAGCGTTGTTGCCATGAGACTTTCAAAAGTGACGGCCAATATCCTGACGAGCCTAAAATTCAAGTTCATGCCGTTTCCAAAGCCGATTACTCAGGGAGAGAAATGTGACTGTTGATTCAACTCTGTGGCCGAGTTGGCTTTGATCAGACAAATGTAAACAGGAGTACTTGCATCCAAGTGGCAGGATAATACTTTAAAACACTAGGGATCCTACAAATACCATCACAATTCTGGCATCCTCTAACTGGAGTAGTGTAAAAACAAGTTTCAAAGTAGTTTATATCTAAAATTATTTAAAAAAAAGAGACAAGTTAATATTCCTTTCTGTTTCCGAGCCAAATATTGATTGTCATAATAAAATAACTTCAAACTTGTGACATTTTTAAGAACGTTTTCACTTTTGAAAAATTGAGTAAAAGAACCGATCGCTAACAGCTAACACCGGCTAACAAAGAAGCAGCTGGCAAAATCGTTCTTCATCCTGCTGCCGAAAACGTTGAATCAATGGCGAGCATCTTGCACGAACTCTTCTGTCATCTGCTCGAGGCAAAACAGCACTGAAACAGCAGAAACACCCGGTTGCCGGACACCGCTAGTCCCTTGCATTGTAGCCAACACTTGAGCTTTGCATTTCTGTGTCCTTCAATATAATCCAAGTCGATTTTAGCTGCAGGGACGTCGTCGCCGTTTAAGTTGACATGAACAAAAGCATTGGAGGTAACCATCATGCATGCGTGAAGTCTGCCGCGTTGTTTGCCAGACATCTGGGACTTTGGCGATTCCCCACAATTCTTGTGACGTCCTCTCTGATCAACACTTTTAGGATCTCCTCAAACCTGTATTTTTATTGTTGTTGCGACTCTGAACACGGGTGATGTAATTATATTTGGCTAACACCCTGCTATCTTTATTGCCCCTTTCTGTTTACTGTGGTTTGATGAATTTCTTTAAGGTTTTCAAGTTAAATTAATGCTTTTTTACAGATGCACGGTATTGTTTTTAATAGCTGGTATCTATTAGCGTTTTTAGCATTTCAAACTTACTAAGTACTATTAACCTTTTCATTCAGACTTTAGTTGTTTCTTCTCTCGCTGCCAGTAACAGACGTAGACACTATACACTCACTGCTGGGTCAGTTGTACTCGTTGTTGTTTTTGTTATTAATATTATTATTATTATTATTACAGTTTTGTACCATTGTTTTCCATTAATTGTAGTATGATAATAAATATCTTTAGTGGGGCAGCCTCTGGACAGGCTCTGTTAAGTTACGAGAGCTGCCTTTCTCAAAACTATCCCAGCACAATGACTTCTTAGCTTATTTCCCACACAGCAGGGTGATGATTGTGTTGATGTTTATTGGCTTTGGGATTCACAGCTTATCTAAGTTTTTTATATGATGTTGATCCATCAGCGGTACCGGATGCTAAGACCCTCAGTGTGATTGATCAGAGACACCAGTTTAGCACATATTAGTCAGCAAGCTTTTCAACGAAAGCATCTTGGCTTGAGCTGGTGTAACCCATCTGACTCCAGCATTTACTCTCAAAGCCCACCGCATTACTCTGAAGTCTAGCAAGCTAGAATATGTTGGTGTATATAATGTGTTGCTGCCTTAAACTGTCCCTGCAAAAGGAAGAAATTACATTATAAAATTGAAATGGGTTATCTGAAAAGATCAAATTTATATTGTGATGTTGCAACGCTCAGCTTTCACAAGCTGACTTCTTGTGCTCTGACTTAAGTGTCCAGACTTTTTTTTTTTGGGGGGGTGTGTGTATTTCAGTGATTTCCTTTCTGAAGAACCTTGTATTTGTAATTTGTTTTTGTTTTTTTAGAAGAACCTGCACCAAGGTGGTATACATTCCTCCAGTGGGCTTACACAGACAGGCTTCATACGTACACAGCTAAGAACCAGCCAGGCTGCTTGTCCTATAGTTCCCTCCAACTGCTTATGATTTTTAGTTTTTGATCGTTTCATTGAGCTGATTGGCCATACTTTATAATAAACAATCACAAGGGGTGCCATAACATAAAAAAAATGATAGCTTTTTTTTAATTGAGAAAGAGAACTGTGCTCGAGTAGCAGTGTGTCGTTCTGTATTCAAAGTACAGAATCATTTCATGTAACTGAGCTAAAGTTAACAGATGAGTGTTTGCTTTTAGGACGTTTGTAGCAAGTGTGATCCTACAGAATGTTCTCCATGGAAGGTGTTCGCTCTCTAATTATCCACATTCCATCATCAGTTATAACAGATGCGACCAACAAATGTTTCAGAAAGGTTGGCCACACCTGTGGTTTTATGGTGAGAGGAAAAAGAATTAGATCATCCCCAAATTTAAAGTGATGTGGGTGGGTTAGTATTAGCAGGCAGGTTGGGGTGGTGTGGAGGTGGTGATGGGGGGGGGGGGGGGGCTGAGCTTCAGAAGCTGTGCTTTTGTAAGCACAAGCTGTGATTCTCCAGACTTTTACCTGACGAGTCTGTTTAGGGTCTCAGCAGTGCCTGCCCCCTCCCGCAAACCCTTTTGGTTCTGGTTGACACTTGTATTTGGCATCGTACTACAAACCACGAGGAAAAGGGGATGTTTGTCCAGAGGTTTTTATTTTCTATTACCTTTTCGTTATCATTTCACTACCACCCTGTAGGTAGGAAGCGCTCTCTTTGCTTCGGCATGCACTCCCTACACACTGTAGGAAAATCACTTAATAAAAAAAAAACTTTTTTATAATAGGTAAACTATAAGACCATCATTACGCTGTGCGTAAAGAATGTACAGAGAAAACAAATCGTAGGTATTTTTTGAGGAACAATTAATTTGGTAATGATATGTAGCTATTTAATTGTTTTTTTTTCCTGTCCTTATATTGAAATCAGTGTATTTTCTTTTTTGTGAAAAAAGTTGATCTTTTTTTTTTTTTTTTTTGTCAGTAGTGTTCATCTTGTTAGAGTAAAGATTCAAGTGCAGGAACACAGTAAATGTATGAAACCACATTATGCCACAGGTGTGTCGGTGACAATCGCTACTTCCATTGGTCCCCAGTCTTTGTGTTCAATCATGTGACTCCTGACGTTTGAACAAAAGTGTTACTTGAGCAAATTGCAGAACTCCACTGATGAAAACATTTCCACTGAGTAATAACTGTTAGAGGCCAGCTGCAGTAAGAAATATCAATTCTGGGTCTTGTTAAAAATGGGAACTAAATGTTTGTAGTTCAACATGTTCATTAAACTTGCAAATGAGTTTTTGAGATGTCGCCCTAAAATCTGCTGCCACAGTTTTTCTCGTGTAACAGAGTAATTGAGTTGTATATTCAACTGACAAATCAAGAGTTGACTGCACCACACTTTCCAGGTCATATTTGAAGTGGAAGTAGCATGTACTTAGTGGTAGTAATACTCAGAACTGTAAAATAGTCTATCAAGAAACAATTTGTGGCTCTGTGTCTCCTACTTAAAAGGTTTTGGCAGGCCACCTTTTTTGTACGTAAAGTAGCCTTGATGAACAATAAAGTGCTTTTAAACCACTGATTGTGTATGTATTTATTGATTTTTTAAACTTAAAGCTGTTCCCAGTGTTTGAGATTCTAAAGTAGGTTTTTGGAAACATGAAGGATGTGGAATATATCTCAATTCTACAAAAGCTCAGTTTCTGTTCAATGACTTCCAGAATAAATGACAAACAGCACAGAGACTTTATTTCTTGATTCAATACTTAGAGGGGTGCAAGCTTAACAATACGGCAATTGATCGGCGATCAAACAGTTATGATTTTAATTTTAATTATAAGCATTTTGACTCTTAATTCTGAATCTGTTTTTCCAAGAACTCAACCAGTTGTTAAAATGTAGATACAATTCAGAAAAAAAATACAAGTTGGAACACACACAGGACATTGCAAAGTAAAATAAGTGCATAAACGTCTACATGCACTGACAGAAAGCACCCAAGACTAGCTGGTTTGGTTCCAGGATGTCTGCTGTAATTGCACATCATTAAACTGTACAGTAACATTCGTCTGCAGGTTTTCTCTCAGGAATAGTCCTAAAGCTGGTTTTAGTATCAGCTGCACTGTGTATATTTCAGTCTCTAGTAAACAGACAAAAAAGATGGATGGAATTGTTGAGTGGACAGCTGTGTTTCTGTATTTTCTTAGTTTACCTGAAACTTTCCAACTGAATAAGCAGATGTTAATGTCTTGCCAAAAAACAACTTGGCTGAACTGAGTATGTGGGTTGATGAAGGCATCAAAACTGATAATTCAGAGAAGCAATTTTACACAACAAATGTGGATGTTGTTCTGAAGAAAGGAAAAAAAAACTATAGTAGTTACACAGAAGATGTGTTCAATCTTTACAACAGTTTTACACAATTTCATTTATGCAATCAGTTTTCATTACATCACTGCTCAGCTCTGGTTGTCACTTTGTGTCTAAAGTGAGGAAATTAGTTTGTGTAAATATTTCATTAATATGAGGAGATATTAAACATTGTAGACTGCAGAGTGGAGTCCTTGTGGTGCTCACGTTTTACTGCTTCAGGCCTTCAGATGCTGTCATCGTCGCTCATGTCCCAAATCTGATGGGGGGGGGGGGGGGGGGGAGACAAGAGAATCTATAAGGACTGAAATATTTAACATGGCAGTTACTTCAACAAAAATAGTTTATTGACAATGTTACTTAGAGGATGTTAGATTCGTCTTTTTATCCCTCTCACTTGTGGGGTTCCTCAGGGATGCGTTTTGGTGCCACTGCAATTTATTTTGTAAATGTTACAAAAAATCTAAATGTCAATAAAAATACTCATTTTGGTTTGAAAAATCTAAATCTTCCACTTTTTTGTTCTGTTTGTCAGCCAAGTATCTGATTATTCCCCAAATGTGTCTTTATAAAGAAATCAAACATTCTGCCATTGTTGTAAAAAAAAAAAAAACTCCACCAAGAAGGAACGGTCAATTATAAAAATAATTTTTCTTTCAGTTCCTTCAACCTTTGCACAATGTTTTATGTATTGCATGCTTTAAAGCCGTTTTCATTTGCTACAATATACTTAAAAGTACTTTATTTATAGTCAAAAACAACAACCGTGTTATAATATAAACTACAAACAAGTAGTAAGAGGAGTCAAAAGTATGAATACGATCATTTCAGATAAATGTGTAGCTTAGTCCAAACTTAACTGAAGCCATTAAATCAAAAAGTTCAAACTATTGAAATAAACTCATGTATTTTTTTTAATCTAATAAATTATTTTTGAAACTGTAATAAATATGAACGTTAATAAAATATATTTTGACATGTACGAGAACAAGATGCACAACAGCCTTGGAAAAAAAAAAAACCTGCCAACTCCTACAAACAGGTTTCCCATCAGACAGCCACACACACACACACGCACACACACGCACACACGCACACAGAGCAAACAACCTCCTTCGCAATAGTGTGTCAGTAAACAAAAGTGTCCTTCTCATGGCAGCAGATTCTTCACATTCCCCCACTGTACAACGTAATTCACATACCTCTAACACTGTCTGGAATGTTACACACACAGCTCGGAGTGCACACACATTTCTTTCTCACACATATATGCTGCATTCCTCAGCTCCACAAGTCAAAGAGCTGAAACACAACGTTCCCTCCGCACAGCAACACAAACCTGTCGTGTTCCGCAAGTTTTAAGAAAATCAGCAACATTTTGATCCAAAGCGTTTTGACATTCAAGGATGGCATGTACAGCTATCAGAACAAACTGAAACTGTATTCACCTTGTTTCATTTTAATCATTTTAAGCTGTTAAATTGGATAACAATGCATTTAATACAACAACATTAAAAGATAAAAGCACCGAATGTTCATACATGGACCAGACTCAATAATATGTGATGGCTATTTTTGTCAACTGCTAGTTGTAAATTCACCTCTAAACCAAAAAAAGATGGTTACTAACGCTTAAAAATTGACAAATAAGACTTTACAGTGTTACAAACTGCAAAACAGAGTTACACAAGTCAGTCAGTCATTTTTGTGAAGGTCAGGTGTAAAAATAGAAAACGGAGTACGCACACAAGTGCTTCACTGCCAGGAATGTAAGAACAAAAAGTCTCCGTGATGGGACAAATTTTGGACAAAATTTCATGACTAGTTTAAGTAAAAGTGTACTTGGGAAATATAATTATTGAATTCAGTCAATCATTTCAATTGTTCATACTACGTGGACATGAATAAACCTACATCTCATCGTTACATCAGGAGTTTTCTCGACGTCTTGCAAAACCCACTGCTGACATGCTGATGCAACTATCTGGGAGCAACTTTGTGCTTCTATTCTACAACCCACTCCCCAGTTTGGGCTTGTTTTGATTGTTTCAGTCACGAGATCTGGCAACAGCAGCTCGAGCAGGCAGTCTGTGCCAGGAGGGAGGAACCGGAGGAACAGGACTTGTTTTGTGTTTTAAAGAATTGGAAAGAGCTCAGATCAGACTAAGTTACTGTCACTCAATAATCTGTATCTATAACATTAAAACTGGAATAGAAATGATTAAACTTTACAGCCTAAATTATAAAGCTCTCAAGTCCTTGTACTGATAATTACACTAACTAGTAAATAAACGTATTGAACACAAAACTTTAAAATCGGACATAAGAAAACTTGTTTCCTTAAAGCACGAAAAATAATGTAGTTATTTTCTGCCAACGTTTTTATCTAAGTACAGCATCCTCACAGAAGGTCTTAATGAGAAAAATCCTGATAATTCTCTCAACTTCACTGCCTTAATGTGATTTTTCTAAGTGGGTTTTGCAACATGTCAATTAAAATGACCCACTCTCCAAAGAGATTTGTACTGGAGTGGAGATGGGTGGACGAGTTGACAGCCTGCTTTCAGAGTACATTTTAAACCGTGCACTTAGCGAGAAAAACGTGCATCGTTTTAATATTTCTTTCAGTAAGTTTATTGTTTTAGCTCTACTTTTACATTTAGTCTGTGTATTTGGGACTTATGTAACGCTAACTTTTCCAAAAAAATTTACCAAAACGTAGGTGACTCTGATCAATTGTGCACTTTGCTTTTTGATTAAAGATTAGCTTCCTTGTATTTTATTCGTTGGATGTCAGAATTTGATTTAAAATGATTACTGCTCGGTTCTTTTTATTTTCTATCCTGACTCAAGCAAACAGTAGCGCTCAGTAAGAACTAAGAGCGCTCGCTGAACTCAAAGCCAGTAAGGAGCTGGAGAAGTTGTCCAACCTGTCCCACAGCCTGCCGCCTACAGGCCGCATCAACAGGCTTTCTCCGACTGAAGTTTCAGGACAGTGTGAAGACTCAGAAACAGATTCGTATCAAAGCCGGACGTTCTGTGTTTCTGCTCCACTGCAGCTGGGGAGCAGTCATCAGAAGGACACCGAGCAAAGAGCTCTTTGAAAGCCAGCGACACAGGAGCCCCTCTCTGGACCACTGCCATGCCACACTGACAGTGTGTGCGTGCGCGTGTGTGTGTAGTCTTTTGTGCAAAATGGAAAGGGGGTTGCAGGGAGTGAGCGTTTAGAATCAGGGGAGGTGGGTTGGAGGGGGGGGGGGATTATGTAACATGAATAGCTTGAACAAACTGAAGCCAGCAGCTTTACAACACGCTGTTAAGCACTGTAGAATAGTTGGGATGTTTCTCAACCTGTTGCCTCCGCTGCTGCAACGCATAAGCAGATTTCTGTAAAGCCAAACCCAGTTCTGAGCCGTTGGGCCAGATTTACGAAGCTCTCTCATTCCAACATTAGAAATAATGTGGATCTGAACACAAAACTGTGAAAGGCCAAACACCAAAATGGAAGAAATAGTTTTATTTTTTTCAAGAGATGAGTATTGAAATTATTTGAAAATGTACTTCTCTTATATCCTTTGATGTTTATAGGTTTACTTAAATTAAGTCCATCTCTAATGCCCCATTTGCACTGCTCCTAATCAGCCCCAACTCAGCTCAGCCTGGATTTGCACCTGCACTTTAGGACCGACTCTGGAGGCGAGTCCAGAATCCAAGTCCTGCTAATGAGAGTTCTGCCATGAGTTCAACTCAAAGCAGTCTGCTCCTCGGATAAATAATATTAAATTATTATTTTTATAAATGAATGTTTCTGTTAACTTATTTTATATATGAATATTTCCGTTCAGTGCCCTGAGACAACTTCTGTTGTGACTTGGCGCTACATAAACTGAATTAAAGCTGATGAACCAGATTCTACAAAAACATCTATATTTAAACGTAAAAAAGTTAAGTCTGGTCCTCTGGACATTCAAAAAACAAAACAACAACAACAAAAAAGTAGAAACGTTTCATCTTTCATCCGAAATACTTCTTCAGTCTGTATTCATGAGCTGAATACAGCTCCACAGACTGAAGAAGTCTTTCGGATGAAAGAAGAAACGTTTCTACATTTTTTTTGTTTGTTTTGCTTTTTGAATGTTCAGAGGACCAGACTTAACTTTTTTAGATTTTTCTACCTGGATTATTGAGCATGCACATGGACTAAGAAGTGATTTAAAGATGAAAATGTACCAATGGGAGAGTCTGCGTGAAGTTAATGATGACCAGTTAACCAGTGAATACAGGGTGCAGTGGTGGGTACGGTAGTTACAGCCAGTTATGACTCAGCGCACCATGATAGACAACATCCACGTATCCAGGATACATGTACAATGTACACTGTATTATCAGAACATGGACTCAGTAACACTAGAATACTAGTCCAATAATTCTCAGTCGGATCATCTGTACAGCTTCTTTCTTATGGAAACGTTTGGCCCTCTATCCAGAGAGCTTCATCAGTCAGAGGACTCCTCTGATTGATGAAGCTCTCCAGATAGAGGGCGAAACGTCTTTATAAAAATAAACTGTCCAGATGACCCGACTGAGAATTATTGGATTTGGTACCTGGATGATTGAGCATGAACTTTGTTGACTAGAATACTAGCAATTAGCATGCACACATTAAAATTCCAGAGATCATATTTTAATCAGTGGATCAGTATTTAAATTCCCTGAGTTCTCCCTGATTCTTTGTTTTTCTTTGTTCTTCCATGTTTTCCCCATATAGAAAATTTGAAAGTCATGTTTCAGGTTTTCCATGATCTCCAGAGTTGCTGGGAACCCTTTACTAGCTCAACTACAAGTTTAGCATCGATATTGGACATAGATGTAGTAATTCAACCTTTAATCCTAATAAATTATGGTTAATCTTTGAAAAATGTCTTCAGCATCCTTTGCCTGGTGAATGTTTCAAGGTCAAGGGTTCTTTATTGTCATTTGCATCGCATGTGGTACATGAGGTGGAACGAAATTGCGTACTCAAGGACCCAGTTACACCCCAAAATAGCAAAAAATATAAAGTATAAAAAAAACAGTAAGGATCTAAGATATACACTAAACACTAATAATATAAAATAATACTGTATATTAAACAGCAGCCTGAACATGAGCCTGTAGTGAGCAGATGGGTATGAATACAGCAGCTTAAAGGCAAGAGATCAGCAGCATGGATACTTCCAGGTATTACTGCTAGTAATGACAGAATCAGAGATTGCATTG